CAATGATGTGGACACAACAGGGCAGGTGCTGGCCATGGGAGCGAGAGGTGTCTGGTCTGCAGCTCTGTTTAGACAGTGAAGGGCTTTGCCCTCCTGGGAGGCACCTATGTTGAACCTGAACCAGGTGATCATAGGATCTTGTCCTTAGTTTTACAACTTTTAGTCTTTGATCCTCAAATGGATTTCAGCTATTTGAAAGCAGGTCGTTAATATGGGACACCACTGTGCCCCTTCCTTCCCCTTGCTGCTTGTCCCCTTTTACCTTGCTCCTAGTCCTCCCTGGGCTACAGTTCACATTGCATGAGGTGCATGAGAGAGAGAGAGAGAGAGAGAGAGAGAGAGAGAGAGAGAGAGAGAGAGAGAGAGAGAGAGAGAGAGAGAGAGAGAGAGAGAGAGAGAGAGCGGGTCTTTGCTTTCTCCTAACTAGGAAGGCCACTTCCTGCCAGGAGGACCTGGTTCTATGTCTGGGCTCCTCCTGGTTCTATGTCTGGGCCCCAGCTACTCTGCATGCTGCAGATCTTCTATTCCCATCACTCTCTTCCCAGTCCCAAGTTCTCCACTACTTGCAAGTTTTGGGATTTTAATGGACAGAAACTTCCTGGGTATTTGATTTGACTCAAGCTATTTATCGCAGAGGTAGAGGGACCCAGGTGACTGCAGGCAGGAAAGAGGGACATTGCAGCAGAGGCTACCAAGAACCCCTCTTGAAATGGTGAGAGTGTGGTGGGGGGAAGACTGGACCTGGTACACCACTGACCTCCAGCAAGGTGTGTACCTGGCAAGGCCACCCCTAGAGGGCACTAGACCACGGTAAGACTGAGAAAGGGGTGTCAGCCAAGGTCTCAGCGAGGGCAGGGAGAAGGGTAGGTCAGCATAGCACTCACATTGGGCACAAAATTAAAAGAGGCCAAAAATCTCAGTGCTCAGGATAAATCAGATTTTAATGGAACATTTAAAAAATCCAAATAAACATAGAAAATTATGATGAACACAAGAGTTGAGACAAAGATATTTTTGTTTTCTTTGTTTTATGACACTAAAGCAACAGGGAAAATGACTTCTATTCAAGTTGACGTTCCTGGGTATCTTGACTGTCCCCTGCTGCGCAGGTTTATATGGGTTGACAATGGGGTGTAGGCAGATGGGGGAACATGGAGTTTAAATAGTCATGTTTTGTGAGTATGGAGTGTTTACTGATCTCTCCCACTTGATTCAGAATATGCAAGGATAACCTGATATGTGTACAAAGGGGCTCACATTTTTCCTTTGGCATCAGCCTCCAATAGGACTTCTTATGGGATTGTTCTCAATCCTTGATTCCTTGTTTAACTTGCAAAAACATATATTGAAGTAGACAGCATCCTCCAGCAGGGACAAAACTCCAGAGCCTCCCTGCAGGGGCCCCTGCTGCTGTTAAACATTTAAGAAGTGCCTGGTCATGGCAGTGAGCACACTGAGGAAATTGTGAAAACAATTACACATAGGCTAGTTCTTGATACTGCAGGTCAGAAACGTATCTCATTATTTGATTTTAAATCCTTCACTACATGTCTGAAGAAAAAGTCTCCTTTGGAAAAATCACCCAAGAAATCAGAAGAGAACAAGAAAAACCAGAAAAACTAAACCACCCCCCTAAACCTATTTATTTAGTTCAAACTCTGATCATTTCTTTTTTGTTGTTGTTATTTTTTGTTTTTTTCCGGAACCGGGAATTGAACTCACGACCTTGCACTTGCCAAGCAGGCGCTGTGCCGCTGAGCTAAATCCCAGCCCCAAACCCATTTATTAAAGTTCAGGTGTTCTGCACAGTGAAAGTGAAGTAGTGAGTTACTCTGTGTACAACTTTCACATTTAATAGACCACCCATTCTTCTCAGCTGTCCCTCCAGAATGCTCAATGAACGTGTGTGTACGCGCGAATGTCAGGTGAGTTTGTGAGCTCAGGCTGGTGGGGCCTCCATGCCTGCGAATCTCGGGCAACTTCTGATTTGGCATCGGTTTTAAAGAAGGAGGATTAGCCTTCCTTGATTGTAAACAGCCCCCTCAACCCTTTCCCTGTCTTCTGTTTCTGCCTCTTCTGGAGACAGCCATTTGATTGACAGCCCCAAGTCTCAAAAGCAGGCCTCCTGCCCTTCCTGGGTGCTAAGAGGAAGATGAGCTCAGGGATCCCTGGGAGGGAGGGAGATCTCCAGAGATGCCCATCCATGTCCCCCGCACAGGCCTTTGTTTTCAGAGGGGGACTGTCTCAGAGATGTCAGGCACTCCAGCTGTGACAACTGAGGAGGGCAGACGCATCAGGAGGAAGACAAGCCTTAGCCTCAGGTCCCCTAAGCAGCCCTTTCTGTGCCACCCCACTTTCTATCAAGCTCCTCTCTCCCTGCCTTTCCCCAGCACAGCTCCAGAGAGACGAGCTCCAGGCGAACACTGCCCGGGACCCTGGGCGCACCGCCAGCACGGAGGAGCGCGGGCCGGGCCGGGGCTGCGCGCCTGGAGCTGTCTCGCACTCCGAGGCGGGGCGCGCG